TTCCTTTAATAAGATGGTAATGTGAATGGACACTGTGGCACAGAGCTCTGCTGCCACATTACAGCAGCTTACCTAACAGTGTTTAACCTGGAAATGTTTCTCTGCGAGTAGACAAACATCCATTTCGACCACGTGACACTAAAACTCAGCACTGAAACCAATTTACATTGAATTCATTGAGGTGGGGCAGCGGCTGCCGGTTCCCACCCTGTCTATTCAATAGCAGGGGAAACACTACTGCTTGCTGAACATAAGCACTGTAGCTCTTTACCATGGAGACTTTTGATACACCGTATGAGTCCTGGGCTGGTATTAGCCCTTCACTACACTACCTGCCATTCATTAAAGCCCTGACACACTTTCAGCAGCCCCTCAGTCCAGAGGAAAAGGCTGTAAATTATATTTATCACAGGTTGTTTCGAAAATACAAGAATCAAATGACGCCAATTCAGATGTTTTAACCGCAGTGTTGGCTTTAGTGTGACATTTGACATTAAAAAGTCAACCCGAGCAGGCCGCAGTTTCTCAAACCACTCCACTATAGTTTGCTCCAGAAATTTCTCAATTCAAGAGAAGAGATTGCAGCCTTTACACTAGCAATTACATGCATTTCCATATAGATGGTGGCAGGAAGAGAAAGCTTGGTTTCTATCGGACTCAGTGTTTAAAATAAAATCTGCATCCTGAACCCAGAGGAAGGAAGGAGGGCGTCCAAGCAGCCATGAAGATATGAAAGAAGAATGTCACTGTTGTTTCTGACATTTGTCTTCTTTTTCCCCTACATCCAACCACTACTACTGAAGTTTATCTTTCTTCCTGTCTTTCATCACAGAAGTTATTAAACCCTGCGAGGGAGCTCCGCCATGTCTAATTACTCCAACAGTAAACAAAAAGACGGGGTGGGGATGGAGTGAGGAGAATGAGGAGGAGGAGGCGAGAGTAGAGGAGCGACAGATGAAAAAACACAGCTGGCTGAGCGCCGTGTTATTATAATTCTTTAAGCGATACTGTTAGCTTGGTCAGTCTTTTAGCTGTGCAGCTAATGACTGGCTAGACCTAATTACAGGCTGCTTGTGCTGTGCCGGGACGTGATATTCCTTCCCCGGATGGTTGTTAACCTCCCCCACAGCCAAAGCCCAACCCGACTCCCATTACCTCCCTAGCCTTCTTCGCCCACAAAACCCCAAATTACCTTTAAAGGTGTTGTATTGTTCTTTTGGCAAAGTATTCAGAAGCATTTTCCAGTGTGCACACCCAGTGTAGGTGGAAATATCACGCTTGTTGTCAAACAAAAAGAAATGCATACCTCCCCCCACACAACTCGTAAAGTCAATTAAAAAGAGCAGTTTTCCCACTAAACAGGCAAAGAAGACACTGGTCTGCAAACTGTGTGCTTTTGAGAACACAAAGTGAAAAACAAAGATGATTTATTACACTTATAATCACACCATTATCTCAAATCCAATGCTGCAGAAATGTATTTGGCTGAATCTGTCCTCTGTCCGTTTGTCATCTGGAACATATTTAATATCACGTGTCGTTTTAAATCCTGCTTGCTAAAATTGTGAAAATGAGAAAATAACAAGGTCCAAAACCACACAGGGATTACAGTTGGGAAAATACAATTTTCTAGTTAAAAGGCTTTTTTATGGCCTTAGCAGACTGAGCATGGCATCTTAGTAATTTATGACAAAGCGAGGCAGTGAGGTTAGATTTATGTAATCAAAATTAATGTCAGAAATGAAGATGAGGACAAATGGAACCAAAGTGACGCAGTAAAATTAGTGCATTGGTTCACCACGCAGGTCAGAAGTCTACAATCTGGGAAGCGGAGGGAAGCTATTTTTAGAAAACACACAGCATAAATGAACTCACGCTGAAAAAAAGTTTTAAAAAGCCTCTATGTGGAAGCCAGTGCACACATTAGCAATTAAAAACAAACACGTTGCTGCCTTTCAGCCTTAGATCTTCTGTTTTTCGGCAGGGAAAAAAAGGGGTGAATTATCGGAGAAATATTCCTTTAGGCTGGATCTGTGGTGGCCTGAACTGATGGACTGAAGCTCTGTGCCAAAAAGAAACTAGGGGACAACGTCCACATTTTGTTTCTCCCCATGAGCGCTCCACAAGACGGATGCTCTCCCCATCCATCGTGGCCTCCTCCCTGTCTCTGGAGTGAGTGATGCGGTATTGGAACCATATGCCCTCCTGAATTCCTCACGGATCCTCCCATTCCGTCCAATCCCAGCAGTCCTCTGCTGGCCGCGGACACACGGCTGTCGCGAGGGGGGCCTCCCTGCTTCCTGTGTAGGATCTAAATATTTACACTCCCAGTCGTCCCGAGTGGCGAGGCGGAGATGTCTTGATGTTTTGGGTTATGTAAAGTCCAATCCTCCAGGACGCATATTTAACAGATTGCTGTTGTTAGAACGTTGTTTTAAAGCAGAGTCGCTTAACTGAACATTTTCTCATCCTGTTGATGCAGACCGGGACACAAAAGCAGACTACAGACAAGCTACCTTGATAATCTGCTTATAAGACGAACTGAGTAGAAGATTATTTTATAACATATGATGGCATTAAACTATTTGTGTAAGCAATTAAGTTTATTTATATTGTACATCAATATTCGCTCACACACTTAGAAAAAAGCTGGGGTGACATCTATTATAGAAAACTCTGTTGTGAGCAGATGCTGTGCACCTTAACTCTGTGATCCAGTCCTATACCCCAGTTTACGTTGTCTTTAAGACATCTTAAAGTCCTAGGACATCTTAGGACATTTCGATCCAAGGTGACAGCTGGGTAGAGGAGAGTACAGGTCTAGAGCCAAAACTGAACATGTGGTAAACTCAAAACTGTCCTGCAGCGTAACAAATGATAAGTCTTTGTTCTGTGTGATGTCGGCCTAAGCTTTCATCTAATGCAATTACTGAGAAAAAAAGCCCTGCAGGAATTTAACTTCCAACCTCTTGTGCTAACAGTAGCACAGCGTAACCTACTGAGAAAGTCACTGCAGATACTGTGCACAAACAGAAAACAGAGCCAACGTATCCCAGCAAACGGCTTGCAGAGAGTAGCAGTGAGAACAAACCCAACTTGTCCTACAAGTACTTCTGTATACCCTGCAGATGGTAGACCCATTAAACAGCGTAGCAGAAGAAGCAAAGCAGAGGTAAATCGCTTCCCAGGTATAGCTGGCCAAGACAAGCTATTTGCAGCTCTGTGTCAACGCACTAAGTTGTGTTTCGGGCACCAGAGGACCAAAAGTGAGTCAGTTCTGGCAGAGATTTGGTGAGATTTTGGGGGCCAACACTGAAAACCCCAATCATTAGTTAGCAGCACTGTGGATTCAGTCTCAGACCCCGGAACCAGCACTGAAATACTGTTTTACAAGTCTAACATGAGTCCAGCAAGCAGGTGCGCTGATTTTGGAGAGCCACTACCTATTTTGGCTACCTGAGGTTTAGCTGCTGCATAACCTTATTTGAGATATTTAAATGTAACGACACTGATTGCTATGAACAGCATTTTATGTAAATTTTCTTTGTAAACTCAGTTTGGCCTATCTTTCTACTCGTAGAATTATGTTGACACTGATTTCAGACTGATCACTTGTGATGGAAGTCTATAGTACTTTCTGACCAATTTTAGTCATTGAAGTTCTATGTATGATCTAGCAGCCAGCTGTTTCTAAAAACTGCCTTCATATTGGACAATTCTGCACCTCACAATTTATGGACTCTCTATGTGGCATGGCAGAGAGAAAGTTCCATCACTTCTTAGACTTCAAAATAATGTATGTCTCCTCCTAAAGCAAGACTTATAAACATGTTTTTATTGAATGTAAGAAAAGTTAGAAAACTTCAACTTTCAGAAATATCCCCTATACTTAAAGTATATGGAAGTGGCTGCCTGGTAGAGACATTTTATTTAGCATCCAGGGCTCTGCTCTGACATAAAGCAGGCTCAAAATTTTTGTGCTGCAGAGGCTTATTAATAGCATGATGCTTCATCTGTCAAATTAGGCAAGGATCAGAAAATATTAACAGCGGCCTCACTGAGCACCGCAGCAGGCGCACAATGAAGTCTCACAGGAGCAGCTTAGCTTTAAGCGCTGGAAAGTCTGGCCAGAATTACACAGCAAGTGAAAGGTGGGCGGATTAGGGTTTGATTTAATTTCAAAAGCTTGCGGAGCTCATAACACCAGCCTTATACCTGCTCATTACATCATCTGCTGAGTAGGAAGAGGAGGACTGATGAGGGGGGTTCAGAGGATGAGGTCACCTGTCAAGACAGATTCACTGTCTGCGTCCTAAATCACTGAATATTCAGCCGGCCGCTATTTTGTGCCGTTTTGCCATGTTGTCGTAAATCTCCAGTGAGAATTACTTTACCATTTATGACTGGTTTAAATGGCACCACAAGGAAACACAAAATTGTCATTATCATTCACTTTTTATGTCATGTTCCTCTTTGCACTCTGTCCCCAAAATCATCCATTTATCTCATCCTCCTGTCTTTGTTCTTTTATTGTCATCCCTTTGTGACTTAAATTTGTAGCCAAATCCACACACCAGCTGTGTAATTGAGCCTGTGTGGAGTGGTGCAACAGAAAACACCTTCATATATAACACATCTTATACATACTGCTTTGAAAAACCTCATATTCTCTGCTCAAGACACAGGTTTTAGGATGCACTGCTCTACTCTTAATTCTCACAGGGAAGCTACAGTAAAAACAGATTTTGGATCATCATCATCCTGGCCTAGAACATCTGATGGAGGCTGATTAGAGAGAGATCCGGCAGCAGTCAGGTCCAATTCATCAAGCAACTCACAGAGAAATACTTCAACTAGACTTAAACACATGCTACTCATCCACTGATCTCAACAGGTTAAATATCCGTTATGGTTCTAGCGAGGTTACACTGAGGTCAGTTTTTTGCCTGATTGCTTTCACGGTTGCGTTTGTGTGATTAGGTCAGCTGAGGTTCAAGTACCTGCTGGGCCCGGCCCTCTGGATCCGTCCTGAGGCTGTGTGGATCGGTTGCGGTTCTGCTGGCGTTGACGTTTTCCACCAGTGGAGCGGGCGGAGCGGATGTGCACCTCGCTGACTTTGAAGAATGCCACCATGAAGGGCTGCTTCTCCAGTGCACCGTCACGTCCTACGAGCCCTGCCTCCTTAGAGCTGATGCTCTGGCCTGCTTTGAACGAGACAGCGCTTAAAAACTACACTTGGTAAAATATTCCCACAATGAGTCTGCTGACTAAATTATCATTAGCAGGTATGAATGTATTTTTTCATTCAGCTATAGATTTAGGCTGTAAAATTGTGTGCAATATGCAAAAAAAAATAATAACAATTTATTCGTGAATCTCTTACCGCTGCTGGTCTCCACGCTGACCTGCAGGCCCAGGTTGTGCACTGGGCTCATCACCCATAGGTTGCTGGTGGCAGTGATGTCAAACTCCAGCCAGCCCTCCTCAGACGCCCACAGCCGACGAGACTCCAGCAAGAACAGATCTGCCTCTCTGGGGAAAAAAAAAAAAAAGTCATCTGTGGCTAGTAGTTGGAGCGAGGACAGTCTGAAGTGCGCTGATGAGTTAAAGCATCCATGGGCTAAAGATTCACACTAAACTTCCAGCATATTGTAATTAAATCTGTCTTAGAGGAAACAAGACTGCTGCACTTTCTCTTTGATTTGTTGTCAGGCTTTGGAAAATGTAGCACGTGACGGGAGACTGTAGCCAGTGGGTTAGATGGACAGCTTTGACTCAGGTTTGAATCCTGGCGGGAGTAACAAATTACTGTGGACTTTTGACTTGACTGTCTTTGTGCATGCTCCCACACATGAGTAAAAAAAAGTTGCTTTATAAACATGCTTTATGTAGTTGTTGGTACATTGTATTGAATCTATAGAGAAAAACATGGAGGTGAAAAAGACTGTCATCGAGGTCTTAGTACATAAGAAAGACCAGATCTACCTCTTTAAGAAGCCAAAGGAAACGCAGAAGCTCTTGGTTTGTATCAGGGTAACAGTATCATAACAAAATGACAGGAAGATGGATAACTGCACTTAACAGAAAATGCTGGAATACACTGCATTCTCCTCCACTGTAGATCTGACCTTAAAGCCTACCTCTCCGAGGGACTGGGAAAGGGAAGGAAATAAAAATTTGGTATCAGGCTACATGTATGTTAATATCATCTACTCTATTTTGTGTGAAGGAAATCAGGCTTCAAAATGCAGGAATGTGTCAAATGGAGGGGAGGGAAAAAAACGGGAGTATTTAATGAAAAGAGAGCAGAGGAGATGTAAGGAAAAGACAGAGTGTGAGTGATAAGAGGGACTGTCCTCCCACTGTCCCATTACAGTAGTAATAACACAGCGGCGGGCCTGTCGGACCCTCCTCCAGCACCGACATCAAAGCCTCGCAATCATCCAGGTGTTTGGAGAATGCCCCTGCAGTCATGCTTCAGCAGCCCTTCTTTATTGGTCATTAATGAGAGTGTTTCGGACAGCTTCCCTATGAGCCTCTACACCTTGTTTTCCTCCACGCACACGCAACGTCCACCACACTGCTTGGTTCGTGCATTCATCCCATCAGCTGCTGATGTTTCTGCTTCGTTGTTATACACCGCTGGCATGATGAAGGACAGCGGGAAGTCCATCAGAGAGCCGCCTGCAGGGGGAAGGCCGCTGAGAGCCTACTGTAAAACTTCTTATTGACTGACTGCTTAAATGAACTGGAATAATAAGGTCAAGAGTCAAAGTTGTGCTTTTTTCTACTATCGGTCCCCTTTATAAGTCTTGTCAGTGGCTGTTGGTAAAATTGTTATGCAAGGTGGGACAGTGTAGCTCACAGCTGGTCGGGATATTTCATGTGCTTTCATCTTTAAAACTGTTGGAAAGGCACACTTGTAAGACTGTAAAAGCAATATGTAGGTCCAATGTTAGGAGGGAAGAAGTTCTATAAGATTAATATGTCTTTTTAAAAACTGGATCTAAATCTCTGTATAAGCAGCAACTTAGGAATCAGAAAAGAGCATGAAATAAATGCATTAAAAAAAGTTAGATACATTATATAAGCTGAAAAAATGCTGCAGAAGGGGTTTTGGTCAGTAAAAGTGGCTGCTGCAGCAGCCTGCCTTTTCTCAGTACAACATCGGGCTTGCCACATTTTTGGCATTGTAATCTCTCGCATTCCTTGCCTGCTGTTAAAGAAACCACTCCAATCATATGAAAAGTACAAAGGGTGTCAAGCTAATTAAGCACTCTATCATTACGACTTGGAGTCAAAACAGGAGTCAGGTTTTAACTGGAAGGAGGGGCACGAGAAAGTTAATAGGCTTCCCGCTGATGGGGCGATTACAAAAGGTACAGTTTGGCAAAAAGGCGGACAATAGGAAAAACAGCAAAAGACTTTACAGCAAATCTTACTTGTATATTTTTGTCATATACCTCAGACAACAGTTTCAGCACTGAGGAAAATGGAATGTCAAATCTGAGCAATTAAAACTTTGACATCATATATTGATGCTGTATTTTCAGTTCATGCATCCAAGTCTTTTTTTTCTCTCTCTCTCTCTACCTGATTGTGAGCAATGCTGGCTGTTATTTTCTTCAAGCTTAAAAAAAAAAAAAAAAAAAAAAACTGGTCTACAATAATACAGAAACTGGAGATATATGGGCCCTTTAATCTCCAAATATCTCCAAAAATAAAAGGTTGTACCTCCAGGCTAGAGAGCACAAACCAACCATTGTAGGGATAAAGGAATGCAGCAAATAAGTAGCTCTTGATACAATATAAACCTTTTGACAGACAGAAAAATATACTTTGCCAACATCTATAGCTAATGTTCTTATACGTCTTTAATTCTGGAGTGTCTCAACTTTGGCCTGGAACTGCACTCTGAAAACATTTGGAGTTAGAGACCCCCATCTTATGGTGTTTTTGTTTCTTGCCATGATTTAACACAAAATAATATATTAATGAGATGCGCTAGTTCTCTATTCGTGAAAAGGCTTTAAGAAGAATGTTTCTTTGATGCGTATTCACTGACAAACAAAATATACAGAGCTACATAAGATGCTGGACTAAAAATGTATATCAGACATTCTCTTCATGTTAGTGTTGCTTCTCGGTGGGCGGGCTTGACAAAACACAAATATCATTCAGAAATCTTGCTGAATGTTTATCTGCCCCTGCCGATGTAGTGTAAATGTTTGGCATGTATTAGCTGTGCTCATTTGGAGGACGGGAGGATTTTGAAGCTGTGCTATTTCTGTAAGATGGGGTTTTGCTTGATTTTACATTATAAACATGGCAGCAGCCCAGAGTATATGCAACACACACGCAGAATGAAACGCGCAGGGAGAGGACACATTTTTTTAAATTGTAGCCTTTACCTTTTCGTAGCCAGAAAAAGTCAACTCAACACACTTGCTGTTTTCAGTAACACCCTATTTTATGTTGACATTGTTGATTCCCGTCAAGAACACAGTGCAACCCCTCTGCAAGCCTGCTGGACCCACCCATGGATGCATCAGAACTTAAGATTCCACTCAAGATCCAGGAGTTTCATAAGATGCAAAACATGCTAAGCTGAATAACAGGGAAATGTGTATAAAATGACCAAAACTGTGGACCTCAATCTGCACAAGAACCAAACTTCAAGTCAATCTGGAGTCTTACCTCTTCTTATATAATACAATATGTTATGAAGAGTAGCATTTTCTACTTGGAAATAAATGTATTTATCAATCAGTACATTGTTAGTGACGCTGACTATAGCTGGACATTATTAACAGCCATCCTGTGCCCAAATGTATATGGTTTTAATGCGGCCTATTTCCCCATTGTTGACATTGTTTTCATGGCAAGAGTGACTGCTTGCTGTTGAGTTCACTTATTAACATTGCAGCAGAGAATTTATCAGCCTTTAAATCACAGTTAGATTATGTTTTGTTTTCTCCAGTGCATAATTTCTACAACTTGTACATATAGAAGAACATGTTTGAGTCAAAAATAAATACGGACTGTCTGCCTCATTTTCAAAAACAGATGATGTAATGCTTGTGGTGTAATCATGCACCAGGGTTCAGGGGTCACATGATGCAACTGACTACTGATAAATGATGACATTTCCCCCATTTGGTTTAAATTCCTTTTGACTGTATTGCCTGTCTTGAAAATGTATGTTGCTTAAAAGTCATATAGTTTTCCTAACACAAATATTTCCATACCCGTGATCTTGAATAAAAATCAATGTTGATGTGGACATTCAGTGTGAAAGAAAAAGTGAACTTTGTTCAATGTGTTCAAATCAAATCAAATCAAATCAAATCAGGTTTATTGTCATTTTGCTGTACATACACAGTAGTGCAGGCAAAATGAGAGAGCGTTTCTTCAGGATCATTCACTCAGCAAGTTTTGCAGAATGCATGCCTGGGATAAGACACTAAACGTCCGCGTCCATGCGTGCCGCCATTCATTGAACATGGCGAACCTCTTCAGGTCCTGGTAGGTCTTCAGGGACACAAAGACACACACGATGGTGAAGCTGCAGATGCTGCCCAGAGCTAGCTGTTCGTCTGTCCGCTTGGAATAATGTCGTCCCCTCCAGCTGCATGTCCATCTGGGATGTTGTCATGGAGCCATGTTTTTGTTAAAGCAAACACACAGCAGTCCCTCCACTCTCTGCAGGCTTCTCCCAGCAAACGTAGTTCGTCCAGCTTGTTGTGGAGGGGGCAGAGATTGGAGAGTAGGAGCAACTGTCCTGCTGGTCTGGAGGGCTTAACCTTTAGCATGAATCCCGGCTCTCTTCCTCCTCCTTTGTTTACATTCGTTTGCTTGCGCTTCCTTCTCTCTTGGGTAACTGCTGGCATAGTCTCCGATCGTACTCCGCGTTGGTGTAGTATGTCCAAATCACAACCGATCGCTGCAATTCCAGCGCTGTTCACTGTCCTGACGCTCAACAAAGTCTCCTGGCCGCAAGTTTAAATGTCTGGGATAGACAAGACACTCAAAACGTTCATTTTCATCGTCTCCTGAAGTGGCCACTGTGTCTATGCGTGCCACCATCACCAATATATCTCACAGTTCTCTCACAGATATAAAATGTCTATCCATCCATCCATCCATTATCTATACACTGCTTAATCCTCACTAGGGTCGCAGGGGGGCTGGAGCCTATCCCAGCTGACTTAGGGCGAAGGCAGGGGACACCCTGGACAGGTTGCCAGTCTATCACAGGGCTACACTTAGAGACAGACAACCAAGCACACTCACATTCACACCTACGTCCGTAGGTTTACAATCACCAATTAACCTCAACATGTTTTTGGACTTGTGGGAGGAAGCCAGAGAACCCGGAGAGAACCCACGCTGCATGGGGAGAACATGCAAACTCCATGCAGAAAGATCCCGGTGTCCCCACCAGAACGCGAACTGGCAACCTTCTTGTTGCGAGGCAACGATGCTAACCACCGCTCTAAACTTTAGACTTGTCGCATTTACGTTTATTTTTTTGCAATTTGGTGCAAATAGAGGAATTTTAGCTTACAATACAAAGGGCAGATATGTTTGGATTGTAATTTCAAAAGTAATTAAGTGAAATATAGGTTTCATCAAGGTGACTGGGCGAAGTGAGAAGCTAACAAGTGTGTTTATGTGTTACCTGTCAGGATGCTCCTTGACCACCTGGTAGACTTTGAGTAGGAAGGTGTCATTGCGGAAGGCGCGGCTCACACACTCCTTGTAGAGGCGAAACTCAGCTGCGGTGACAGCCTCGCCCTCTGGGATCTGTGAGAGGTTGAACTTAAACTCCTTGTGGTGACGCCGCTGTGGAGAGAGCTCCCTGTCGTACTCCACTGTGGGATGGAAACACACACACAGACATACAGGATCATAACATTACTCACAAAGAGGAAAAGACGGGGAAAGATAATACAGCTAAACTATTATTAACTGTCTCTGTGAGGCTAAATGCAGCTTCTGCTCCTGTTCATGAAGGAAAAAGGATTAGAATTGAGCAGACAAATGAAGCGCCACCTACACCTTTTATTGCCTTTTGACCTATACAATGCCGATCAGTAGCTTGCCTCAACTTGATGCATGATGCATTTGATGGAAATAGGAACAAAATGCATATTTACAAACAGGGTTTCTTTGTAAATACACAGTAGTGAATGATAAGCGGATATCCTTTTCAGAGACGCTGCACTGAGGTGGACCATGGAAGCCTTTAAAGCATGTAAAACGTGATTTACACATAAAGTCTTAATAGCTTTTGTGGCTTCTGCTTTCCCTAAATAAATCCCTGTTATCATCAGTTCAGAGCAAAAGGCCATGATTTTTTCAGCAGCAGCAAACTTAGAGACATTCTGCAACCACTTCTGACAGCGTGAAATGACAAAAACCAACAAATGCTTTCCCGCCTATGTTTTTCAGTGCAATATGGGCCATAATGATAATGTGCTCTCTGGGGAATTGGTTCCTGTCTCTGCTGAGAGTTCTCTCCCACAGCAAAGGGCCTGTCGAGTCGACTGATACGTAAATGAATGAAGAGGGACATGTTGTATGCAATTAGAAGGTCACGCACGGAAATACCCACGCTGACATTATCAGGAAATGTTAAGCCTGTGTGCTTTTTTTCTGCAAAACTCTCAAAAAAGTCCCTCTTCGGTCATTGATTAAACCCCTAAAATCTCATCTCTGTTCATCACAATTATGTATTTTTTGAAAAAAATACTTTCTTGCCTTAAAATGGCTTTGATGCAGCTCAACAGTATTACCTCCTTTGGTAGTCGTGGATCTATTAATCTCTCCACCCACCTTTCTGCCGAACACTGTAGCTCAAGCACACCAGCTCACATCTGACTTTGCTCTGCACTACTTTCCACTGCAAAATTTAAAGTTTGAATACTGGAGTAATTCACCCATAAAAGTTTGAACCAGAAACAGTTGGACCAATTAACATAGGGGTCTATGGGGATTGACTTGCTTTTGTAGTCAGCCTCAAGTGGCCATTTGAGGAACAATGCTTTTTAGCACTTCCATGTTGTCTTCATTTTACCACCATGACGGTGGGTGCATGGCCTCAAGCAAGTTGACAGGATTGCTCCCTTTGGTTTGTTCCAGGTGTCTGCTGACCGTCATTATTAAGCTGCAATTTCAAGGCAGAAATTCTCAGTGGTGGTGTTGACTTCTTCATGACGTGATATAAAAACACCATATGGACAATTGAACAATATGAATAGAAAAAGTTGATCTTTGGTGTTGAATGCCTTGAATACCCAAAACACATCTCAGCACACTCTTACGACTCGTACTTCATCATAGATTTAAATAGTTTCTTCTCTCCACTCGGTGCCGTGTGGTTCAGCAGCCCTTAGTTTCACCACCACTGTAAGTGCAGACAGACCAGGAACCAGAGCTAGATGTATACGACCACCTCCGTTTTTCACCTACAGCGGGACTAAACATAAATCCCCACCATCGTGCATGTGCGTTCATTCCTTTACTACAGCTGCTAAATAGTTTTACATTTTATGGAAATACACATTCTCGGCAAGAGCCACATTTTAAAAAAAATCATTTGACCATTCTATCTGTATGATAAATACAGAGGAACAGGCAGCAGACAGGAAATAGTGGGAAAATGTTTGTCTGAATCTAGTCAAATATGCCAACCAACAACTCTAAAGTTGTCCAACAAGATTTGTTATATCCTAATCCGACTAACTTAGTAGAAACAATAACTCTCAGATAGAATTTTTAATCTGAGACATAAGAATGTAAATAAAATTTGGAGGAAAAATACAAGAATATAATTTTCTCACACATGTATAAGCACAGTGCTCTTCTACACACAGTCTGTTCCTTTCATTATCATTTTTAAACACCAAATAGATGATACTTTATGATTTGATACCATAAAAGCAGAGGTTAGTCTATATTTTGTTTTAACAAGTTTGAATAATCATATTGGATACTTTAACAGCCCAATGCGTAGGTAAGAAAAATTTGTTTTTGTACATTAGCCAGGGTTGTAAAAAAAACTTTCTGGTAATTTTATGATGTGGGGACCCACCCAAAATGGACCAATGACACATTTTGTTCCCCGAGTCATAGCAGAAGAGAAAATTGTGTTGATGTGAGAACACTGGGACCAATCAGACTCTCCCAGAAGTGTCAGCCCCACCTTGTACCCACACCCAGGAAGGTCAGAGCTCCCCTCATCCCCAGACAATTCCAACTTACATAAATGCTGACCTTAAGTAACAACTGGAGCACGAAAGGCAGGGAGGAAGGACATGTCATTCTGGCTTTTGCTGCATTTCTAAGGGTTCTGGCTTGGTCAAAACAAATTATGATAATGAAGCACTGAATTCAATTGAAGCAGATTTACGTCTGAGCTCCACACTTCAAACACTTTCCGTTGCAGCAAGCGAAACCACCTTTAGTGAACGAGATGTTATTCCCATCAGTGTCACCGTGACTTCTATCAGATGTGACAGTGACCATTTCATCATCTTACTCCACGAGCTGCCCACACACACATGTTGCACTGACTGCGAATGATATTGGCTCTGCTCTTGCGTTGAAGGGTAGATAGACGAGCAAAGCTTGTGTGTCAGTGTGGAGGCTTTAAACAGAGGTCATGGTACTCTAAATGACTTTACAACACTCATTCCAACACCTCTGGGCTTACACCGAGAGCTTGAAGTCTGATATTCCCTATTTAGCAATCAAGGAGCTTTTTGGCTCGAAAACTCTGATAAAGTGTAGGTTGGTGAGAAGGTCAGGAGGAGTTTCACAAGTATCGGACATTTATTACATTTGCTGCAACATATGTTAAGTGTACAAAATAAAAAATCAGACACCTGTACTGAAAGTAATGAAGCATAGCATCATTTTAAAGCCAATATGTCTCAACTACTATAAGACTGACTGTCATGAAATTTGGTACAGACATTCATGTTACTTCCAGGATGAACTGGAAGAAATATTGTGAACCTTTAATTTGTTGGTTTAAAACATTGGTTTACGGCCACTCACATGTCCTTCAACCTGCAAAACTAATGACAGTCCATCTCCTCTGTTGGACTCTGTGTTTATTGTCATTGTGAGTATGTTGGCATGTTGGTGCTCGCTCATGGTTTGTATACGGATCATCCACAGTATTACAGTCACCTGCCTAATATTGATGTGGAATCTCAGGGAGTGTCCTGTGGTGTCTGGCACCAAGTTGTTGGGTCATTTAAGTCCTATAGGTTGGGGGGACGGTCAATCGGATTGGGAATGTGGGAGTTTGGTCTACGTCTTGGGTTCTTTGTCTTGTTCACTCGGCTGTTCCAAAGCAGTTTTGGCAGTGCAACAGGGCACATCGTCAACAGGGAGGAAGGTGCCAAAAGAACCACCACCATTACTTTTTACCTGTGGTTTTAATGTTGTACCTAATCTGTGTACAGTTGCTGTTCGATGGCATTTACACCACGCTAGCAGAACGACATAAATGAGACACTTGTGACAGTATTATTCCCTGTTGGATTCCCCTGTACTAGCCTTGCAATCACAGCAGCAAAATACAAATTAAGCTGATATTTGTCTATTTGTAAAATATTTATAGGAATACACTCAGTGGATCTGGTTGCTTTGTAGCGGCTTTACAACAGGTTCAACTACAGACTAATGTTAGTAGTTTTCACACTAGGCTGGTGCTTTATTAACAGCCTCACTCTGGGAGTTATCTAGTGTCACCATAGTTCTCCGGTGAAGCAGCAAAGGTGTTAACAGACAAGAATTCAGCTGGCAACTTCTTCTACTTTGTATTTCCTGAGAAGTGCTACAAAATTTGACAATGATCATGCCAGCGGAATGAAAAAGATTTCAGTCAAGGACAAAACTGTTTTCACTAAAGTGAAAAATGTATGCAGCGATTTCATTAGGTTTTAATGAAATTTGCAGGACACATTTCTTTTAATATCTACTTTCCTCATATCCAAACAAAATTGCCAGGAACTGCTGAGCTCACTCCACAACTCACCAGCCTGTTCAAATCAATCATTCTGGTAATCTCAGAGCAGGGAGTCATTTTCAGCAGCGTCTAGATGAAGACAAACAATTAAAATTTTGAAATATGAAGACAAACACAGTCTCACATTATGGCACGTTTTATCACTGCAGCCCTCTGCATAGCAGCCTGGGAGTCGCAGCATTTGCCGTTAAGTAGCATTCCAGCTGCTTCTCCACCCTCTCAGCTTGAAATTCAATTGAAATCCACTGAGGTTTTGCATCTAAAATCAAAGGGTAGTCTTCACACAATACATACAGGGAGCGTAACCTCAGTGCTAATCCACCATGATGTGAGCTTTGAGACAGGAACACACAGAAGGGAAAAAGGATTTAGATTTGGATGATTCAGGGAGGAATTCATTTAAAGTGATTCTAAAGTTGGGAAAACAGTGATTATATTAGTGATTTGGTGCAAACAGGGCTCACTGAATCCTCCAGGAAATTAGTGTACATATGTCATACATGTGCAGACTAACTTGTGCATGTATTTTACGGCTTCTTATATTCCCATCGCTGAGTTCGTGAGAAAGTACACAAAAACATAAAATGACTAAGTTAATGTTCCCTGGAACTGTTTTCCCTTTCATTTTCACCCCTTTGAATGCTGAGAGGCAGCCGCAGTTAGCCAGAAAACCTGACAGTACTGGGGAATTTCTCTGATGATTCACCTAAATGTTGTGGGGTGATTTAATCTGCTATGAGAAACAGAGAGACACAAGAGACAGAAAGAGAAAAAGAAGAGAGGAGAGGAATAAATGATGGTGATAAAGGCAGAAAAGATATATGAATTAAG